TATACTCTGTTCCTTTACTTAAATGTAGAACCGAGATTTTTTTCTGATTTACTTTTATAAATTCAAAATCATTTTGACCAATCATGCCATACTTGCCTTTAAGCGATGAAAGAAGTTTTTCTCGAATAGCAGCTTCGTTATCTTTTTCATTAAGACTCACAATACCTCGATCCAGAATCATGTCCTTCTTCAAGCTGTCATCTGGTTCATCACTGTCGACATCTCCACAAGCAAGCAGGGCAAATTCGAAAGGTTTATCTTTACTACCAGTCGAAGAAGTCGTTTTGCTTTTCTTTTCCTTTGGTCCTGAAGTTGCTCTCAATCTTTCGCTGCTGCTAAGCCGCCTAAACACTCCAGTGGTTCTACTGCTTTGCATCATACTCCTTGCTCTTGCGAGGGTCTCGTTTACTGATCTTCCCTGTGGTCTTACTGTCGGACGTTCAGACTCTGCCTCTGGGCTTCGCACTAAAGCTGGAGATGAAGAAGTTCCTGGATCTACTGACAGTAACATACTCGAAGCCTGTCGCAGCAGTTCTGCCGCATCTGATATTCTTTTGTCCATCGTTAAATCTGTTTTAAAATACCTTGAACACACTGTTGTCGCTCTAAAACATTCGCATACGCGAACCAAACATGGCGGGATGCAAAAGCGCGGGAAATTGACATATATAGTCAACCTCGTACCCAGGTTCCTTACGGCAAGAAAAGATTGAATGAATTTAGGATTTATTGAATGGATATTGAAATTAAATTGAATGCATATACAAACATTAAATTGAATAAATATGTTAAAGTTTAAAATTGAATAAATATTCATTAAATTGAATGAATATTTTAATATTAAATTGAATGAATATTTTAATATTAAATTGAATGAAAATATGACAATTAAATTGAATGAATATTTTAATATTAAATTGAATAAATATAAAAAAATTAAATTGAATGAAAATATGACAATTAAATTGAATGAATATTTTAATATTAAATTGAATGAATATTTTAATATTAAATTGAATGAAAATATGACAATTAAATTGAATGAATATTTTAATATTAAATTGAATAAATATAAAAAAATTAAATTGAATGAAAATATGACAATTAAATTGAATGAATATTTTAATATTAAATTGAATAAATATAAAAAAATATTAAATTGAATGAAAATATGACAATTAAATTGAATGAATATTTTAATATTAAATTGAATGAATATTTTAATATTGAATTGAATGAATATATGACAATTAAATTGAATGAATATTGCGATTAAATTGAACAAATATATTACATTGAATATTGCAACAATCGGCGTGCCATAGCGGGAAAACTTTTTGTCTCATATGAGCGCAGTGTAACTGTTCATATTATTTTCATACCAAGACGAGATCTCGCTTGTAAACTTGTTGAAAAGTTTTCTCGCTAACCGGGATAACTTTTTCCCATATGAACAGGCCCTTAGTTGTTTCATATACGTAAAGCCAAAGGGCCAAAGCGGCCATCGGGTTTTAAAGCAATTATAAAATCAATATTTAAAACAAACTTACCTTCGTTGACGTTGGCTCCCTTCTTTTTAGCCGATTCTTTCGCCCTTTCTTTCTTGAAATTTACAAAATCTTGCAAAAATGCGAGCAAAAATTAAATATATTTGCAAGAAATTTATCAATCATCAAATCAAGAAATGTTTGCTATTTCGCTGTCGTCATACAGTCGACAGTCGTTATAATGCAAACTTTAAATTGGAAACTTAACCAAGGAACAGTCTACTGACATAGAACGAGTTCAGAAGCGTGCGCTTAGGATAATTTGTCCTGGACTGACTTATGAAGAAGCATTACTGGACTGTAACCTTAAAACATTCAAGGCTCGCAGAGAAGAGATGTGCGGAAACGTTATAAAAACAATGATAGACCCTAGACATAAGATAAGACAGAGACAAACTAGATCAAATGGAGAAAAACTGTATAATTTTGGATATCGAAATGAACGATTTAAAAATAGCCCAATTGTATATGGGATTGAATGTTTTAACCGAACGCTGGAGTCGAAGTAAATTTATCGAATTCTTTCAAAAAATTTTTAATTTTTATCACGGTAACCCACGCCAGCGCTCATTGATGAACTTTAGACTTGGCTAATGCTTTCGTTTCCCCGGGTGTAAATAGCCGGGTGGAATTAGTACCCTCGTACGGCGCTTCGCGCCGTCGGCTCGGGGATTAAGCATAGTTTTTCACCCCATGATAATTTTTTTAGGAAATAAGAATATTTAATTTCGTCCAGGCAATATTAGTTATTTTGTGCATAATTAGCAATTTACCTTGGGTGGTGGATGGTCATTTTCTTGTAAAATATTATACTTAGACAAATTTTTCATTCCAATGACCACCCCTAAAAGCAACCATTCTAAACACTATAAGCACTTCAGAAAGATTATCGCTTTTTGTTTTCGGAAGTTAGAGCTATGTCGACACTGCCGTTTCAGGGCGGGGTCATTTTCAGGACTTTCGTCCCGGATTCAGGTTTTGGCACATATGCCATGTTGACCGCCATGGTCATTTTACCCTAAAACAGTTGAGATTACCTGTGCTAAATGAAACGCATACAAACTCATATACAGGTCCTAGACTAAAACATCAAACCGCTAGCGAGGCTTTTGATTTTACAACTCTGTTATAATAGCTTTTACGCCAGTTTTGAAATATGTTAAACTTTTAAACTTGTGCTCTTTAGCAACGATTTAAAAAAGCACATTAATCACTAGTCATGCCATTTACCAAAGCAGTAAATGAAGATTTGGCGTTTGAAGTTGACGTTTGGCGTATAAATTTCATGCTTGAACTGCTACGAGGGCTTGTAGTCGTTAAAGCATGAAATGTATACGCCAAACGTCAACTTCAAACGCCAAATCTTAATTTACTGCTTTGGTGAATGGCATGACTAGTGGTTAATTTGCTTTCTTAAATCATTGCTAAAGAGAACAAGTTTAGTAAGTTTAACATATTTCAAAACTGGTGTAAAAGCTATTATAATAGAGTTCTAAAATCAAAAACCTCGCTAGCGGTTTGACGTTTGCCATAAACGTCAATCTAAAGGTCTCTAATGAAATAAAAACCCCGTACCTTCCTTGCCTTCCCAATAATTACAGTAATAATGCAACATACTAAAAATGTTTGGTTAGCAGAATAACGAACCAATAACGCCCAATCCAACGATCAAAAACCAAGTTACTATATTTACTCGCCCCATGTCTCTCGCATGCGCAGACAAAATTCTCACCTGTTTATTCACACAGGACTGGAAATTTTGTGTGAGATGTCCGCTGACAACACAAGTCCGCGCGAGTGGGAAAAAATTTGCCAAATTTGACCAGTGTGTTAATCCAACCTGCGCGTGTGAATAATTGCCAGACGTTCAGATTTGACTCCACTATCACTAATAACAATAGGGCCTTACCAGCCCTTACCTATAACGTCACAATTGTAGAACGGAAGAAGCGGTACGTGTTTTACAATATGGCGCATTTTAACTCACCATGCACTTTTGGTTATCATTCACCCTAGCGCTTCCGTTCATCATAACATTAATACTAACCTGGAAAGGTTCAGGTGTAGGAGATGACTTCGAAAACTGCGTATACGGTGTTCGTCTGCGCTCAGTTCTCTGAATGCTTATCTCAGTTGATTTTTTGGTTTCGTCTTTTCTAAGTTTCCACTGATGAGCGGAATGTCTTTCACCTTGAGAAGTAGTCGCAGAAGATATTCTTTTATTGCGGTTTTGTGTTTCCCTGAAATATGAAGTTAATTTTAAGCATTTAATATCGGTATAGTATTTTATGTAATCAAGATAGTATCACATGCTTTTTAAATATGATGATCTGCTTCTTGGGGATAAATCGAATCTTCGCGGGAACAAAAATGCACAAAATAATCCGATTCTTATCATTTATAGACCTCGATTATATTAATTTACATTACTTCGGGTAATATTTCGCCGAATCACCCGGAGCGGAGGGTCAATGGTATATTATACCGAAAGTTAAAGAACCCATCATTGAAGGCAAATACCTTTTGAAAATCTTTAGTTAAACCAACAAATCAGTTTTATACTCAATTACCGACGACACACGACCGCCATTTTGTTTCAGTACGTGGTATCTACGCGTGACTCGTGAACGTCAGATATTAAATATCTCACGATGAATTGCAAAATCATGAATTTGAGTGAAATACCGTAAAAAAATCACAACGTCACGTGGTACAAATGTTGTTTTTTGATTGGACAATTTGAATTTCAGGTATAATATTTTGCGAGATTTAATTAGTCCGGGACGAAGCGCCCAACGCGGACGACTTTATTTTCATGCTTATTATAAATAATGTTTCCATGAGACGGCAGGACGAAATATTGCTCGGAATGAGCTGAAGGGTTATGGAATGGATCTATTCCCTAATGAACAAAATTTTGATCTAGACAAGTCTAAATTAGTAATATTCCGAAGTTTCGTTGCGAAATGTTGTAAAATGCGGATAATATAGCCTTGCGAAATTTCCCGTTTTTCAGTTTTGTATTACGCACGGGAAATTGATACCTTTTTTCAGAAAGCGGTATCAATTTCCCGCGCGTAATACAAAATGACTGAAAAACGGCAAACTCCGCAGTGCCATATTATCCGCATTTTACAACATTTTGCAACGAAACTTTGGAATACCGGTATTACTAATTTTAATTTGTGATCCTCTTTCAAGTTGTGGTGAAATGCTTATCTGGACTTGTCTAGATCAAAATTTTGTTCATTAGGGAGTAGGTCCATTATTTCTCTTCAGATCGCCGATTGTTCTACGTCGACTTTAAATGCGCAATACAATCGTATAATAATATTGCGTGCGCATTTAGTATGATGACGCAGACAATGATAAAATGGCTAGCCCGTCTATGGGTGACAAATTCGTTATACACACCTTTTAATCGGTTCGCCGTAACCCTTGCCACACAGTTTAAGATCCATAATTTCGCCGACAGATTTATTTCGACACTGGTTTTGATATTCATGTGGAACTGTTGTAAATTTTGGAACTTTGTCGACCAGTTCAGTTTTCGAGCCTGGCTTCTTTATAACATGCCGCGCTGGTTTAGTGGAAGCTTTTGGGATACTTTTAAACTTTTTCGCGATATTTTTTGAAGATAAAATAGCCGATGTAGTATCTTTATTCATAAACCATACTTGTTGGCTTGAAGTTGATAATGGACGACGTTTTGCTGTTGGAATTCTCCTTTGATTACGTTCAACTTCTGGTGTAAAATGTAGACAAATTGATATCCTAATTGATTACGAGGAATATTGGGTAAAGAAAAATTAAATATTAAATTATTTGTACGTTTGCATGGCGAAAGCTAGACATATAATACTTTGTTCTTTGTGGAAACACCACCATTTATTACTGCAAAGCTTTCGATCCGTAAGTCCGGCCATCTTCGTCAGTGCTAATAATCATATTATGTACATATAATTAAACGTTGAACATTAAACATTAAACATTGAACTCTCATCATCCTTGAATTGGTTCAAATTTTGATGAGAGTTGATAAGACGGCTTTCGCCACTGGCGCGGAAATATCGAGTCAACTAGCTCTCGCGTGAACTCTAATGCAACTATTTTTCTCGTTTGATCGGGCATGAGAGCTAGTTGAAAAAATAATTTATGCAAAATTTCGCCTCTCAACTCTCGTCAACTCTCATTCTCATTTGATCTGGGCTTTAGAGTTTTAAATTGCGAGGTAAAAATTGATAAACTCGCCTTGTTTTCTTGCCCTCTTAATACTTTCCTCCTGAAACAATGAACATCTGTCTGTAATTCGACGATAGTTTGGCGTCCAGACCTGTTTAGCTGATGAATGCTTAGAAACCTTTAAAAAGTGTATAATAATTGTAATGAAGAATCAACATTCTTAAACATTCTGCGCAACATTAAAATTGTATTAAGCTCGATTAAGCTCACCCAAGGATTGAAAACAAACTTTCTTAATTAGATATTGTGAAAGCGCTAAAAGTCGCAAGAATTGCCATTCCCAATTGCTTTTATCCCAATACTCACGATCGAGATATATATATAATAAAATATAAATATTATTAAAAAAACAATAAACTTTATGTTCCTGGAAATTCTCACTGCCTTAAATAATTCTAGAAGTAATATCATTAACCCGCAATCGGATGGCGAACCTTTACTTCCGCTTTTCACTCACAAATCCGCGTTGATTGGTCGAGAATCGCAATTTCTATAACTGTATGAAAAAATTTTTCTTCTCGCTATTTGACTTTAGTAAACAATAACAAATTTACAAGATCGCCCAGAGTGGAGGCAAACGGGATAATTTGCCCCGGGCCCCCAGTTAAAGGGGGCGCCAAAATTTGCAAAAGGGGGGCCCCAAAAGATGTAATTAAAAAAACAATATTTGGAACGTTTTCTACATAAGTAATGGTATGAGAGAAATATTTTAAACCTTAATTTTACTGATCTTGGTCCGAAAAAATGTGTTTTAGCAGTGAATTTATAAGTATTTGTCCGGAAAATTTTTTTGAACCTTAATTTTACTGGTGCCTTTGTCCGGAAAAACTTTTTTGAACCTTTTTTGGGATATGTCTGGGAAGAATTTTTTCCTTTTGGGCAGAGCGTTGGCCATTTGCTCTTTCCGGAAGAGGACTGGGTTCGAGACGCATTAGAAAAGTTCTCACTGAGACTTAGACCTGCGACCTTAGAGGTCGAGGGCAAGTGCGCTAACCACTTCGCCACCGAAGCCCGATTAAGGAACCAAAATAAGGAACCACAAGACAAAAAGTGAATTTTCATTTCAAATATACAAGAACTTGACATGCAATTTCAAATTGACAAGTAAAACCGGGCAATCGATCGGGTAGATTTTATGCTCAGGTAATGATAATTTGTAGATCAGTCGATATAAAAATGGCTATTAAATGTTTTCTCGAGCTAGTATATTATAAATGAAATAGAAAGCATTTATTCCTGTGGTCCTGGACAGTTATAAAAACACGTGACAACTCAAAAATATTGAAAAATAATTGGCCACTGAGGAACATAGAAATTCTACACCCAAATATTTTAGGATAACCAGAAACCAATACTCATAGATAATCAAAACATTTATACAATTTAGTAAGACATGGAAAAAGACCGACTTACCGTACTATCCTGAGGTGACTTTCTCCCTTTACTCAATAGATTTTGACAGAACTCGTCAATTTTACATGATCTTTGAGCAAGTTCTAACTGTTGAACACATCTCGCCTCCGAACAGAGATTCTGGAGTCCAGATACAACATATGACATTGGAATTTTATATCTTACAATGTTTTCTTTATCAATTGTATCGTTCTTTGGTGAATCATCCTCGAAGATTGCCGTGTTTCTTGATTGATTTGCGTTCGTCGTTGAAGTTTGAAAATTTACAGCTTTATGGAAATTTGCTTGCTTACGCAGCATTTTATTTACAGCTCATTAGAAATTGATACAGTTTAGTTCTTACCATGTTTTTCACCCAGAATTTGGGGAGAGAATTTCAATCAGCGCATGCATTGTTTCACCTAGGGCGAGAACAATTGCTATTATGACGTAATCAAATTACATCATTGCATTTTTTCACGCGCGTCCATGCGCACGCTACGTCCAACATTTAAAGGTTAATATTCTCGTTTGTTTTAATTTTAGCTCAATAATTGTAAGTTGTGTTTGTTTGCACTAGTTTAAAATAATGATTCGGCAGTTCACACGAGTTTAGCTTGGCATTCATAGATTATGCATGTCAGTAATTTAAGTACTTAATTTTTCAGTAGTAAAGCACTTATTTTTTAACCCTTACCTGCATAATGTTTCTCTACAGTAGCCTGAAAACAGACCTTTCGCCCGCCCTAAAATTCGCAGGTCGACGGAAAGGGCGAAACGTAGGTCTGATGCTCTGGGCTATCTTTAAAACAGGGAACGGGGAATCCGGGAATCGGGGAATCCGGGAATCGGGGAATGATGAAAATGATGTCAAAATCGCCTTCCGCCCACTTAGCATTTTGCAATAATTAACGACGATGATTGACACATTTACGTGCAACACCTAAAAATACAATGAATGTTGTCGATCAATTTATTGAAAGTTTGTAAACAAAGTATAAGAGTCGATATTAAAGTACAGATGTTTGAATAAATATTAAAAATATTGGTAACCCCATGCAGCATTTTGCTTTTATGTACTCTTAACCATTGTAAGTATTAAACTGCAAAGAATTAAGATATATCTCATACTTTCCTGCAACTTATGTTTCGCCCTTTCAGTCCACCCGCGAATTTTAGGGCGTGCGAAACGTAGGTCTGTTTCAGGCTACTCTACAGCAACAGTATTTTTTTAGCTAAAAAAAGCTGTAGATAATAATTATGCATGCAATCTCGTTCCCAGAGTATGCCTGTTCGCGGGTTAGGTTGTGTCATGCCACAAAGTAACCCGCGAACAGGCATACTCTGGGAACGAGATTGTTTTAATGCATGCCGCTTCATGTATGAAAAATTACATGAAGTACTTCTTGTCCAAAATTCATTGACCATGCACAAAATGGCGGATTATGTGATTGCTATTGCTCATTTGCTCAAAGTTGAATGATTGTTTACACTGCGGTAAGTTATTTTTCTTTCATTATAAAAATACTGTTTGATAAATTTGGTTACATTTTGTGGATTGATCAGTGTTTTTGTAAAAATATTACGTTTTACTGTGTATAATGCACCGATCAAAACGAAGGTGTAACATCCCCCTCCAAATGCCCCAGTGCCCCACCACTTTAAATTTCTCGACAACAAATGTCCGCCCCTAGGTAATATCACGAATGGCAAATGCCCCTCTCGTGCCCAGGTGGGGGGGGGGGTTACACCTTTGTTTTGATTGGTACATAATTCGATCTCGATTATGAGTTGTCGCTCTAGAGCAACATCATGCAGCAAGGGTTATGGTAACCTGAGTATCAGGCCCTATTTTACAAATAGAGTCTGACACAAAACTTAACCTGATCGCTTTCCACCCACAGCAAAGTTTATATTTAATATCCAATCAAAATGTCGCAGGAGAAATTTAAATTTGACACAACGCCAACAACAATCTAATTATGGCATAGGCAGTCCACTAAACGGCTGAATTTAAATTGAAACTGCAATGAACTTATAATCACAAATTAGCGAAATATAATGCAAATGTAGCTTATATTAAATTGCCACCCGATTGCTCTCTCCTCCGCAGAGGTTTCAGTGACTACAATGAGCTTTACATGGCGCTTAAATATACCGTATTTATCAACAAACTGAAATATAATTATGAAGTATATATATATTAAGTATACTTTATAACTATACGTCAGTTAGTCGATAGTGCAATCTGATGGCGATTTAATATAAGCCATATTTGCAATATATTTCGCTAATTTGCGATTATTTTCTAATTTTACTGCAGTTTTAATTTAAATTCAGCCGTTTAGTGGGCCGGCCGTTGTAGTTGTAATCGTTATGAAATATATCAACAACAATAGTATAATCTAATTAGCAACAGCCAATCAAATGACAGATTTAAAAAATCGTTTGTCTAATCGGCCAATCAGACGAAAAAGCCATCTGGATCAAAACCAAGCTGGCATCAGAACTCTGCATGTTTTGCTGCGGTAAAGAATTGTATCAGGCCCTCCTTCATTCGCCGCCGCCAATTAATCCTGGCGAATGAAAACATAAGGGCCTGATACTCAGGTTAGGGTTATGGCAAGTCATGACTATAAACTAAGCCACATGCAAAATTCGATGTGATAGTTGAAAACACCACAATATTTTACCCTGCGAGAGTTTGTTTGAATCTTTAATCATTGCCAAAACCATTTTATGAATTTTTCACCTGCCGACCCCGGGAATTTGAACTTTTTGAAATTTGACTGATCAAATTCTCCACCCCCTGTGCAAAAAATGTCTTCAAATGCCCCACTGTAACAAGAAATTAAGCGTTCAAATGCCCCACCAGTAAATACAAAAAGTGCAAAAAATACGGAAATGTTTTTCGACAAGATAGCGAAATTCACATAAAAAGTTTGGATACCGTGTGGAAATTTAACAGTTTTACACAATTATGTAGTACATACCTTCAAGTGAAACACATAGATTTTCCATGCCCGTTTCTTTGAGCCAGTTTTTCACAAAATTGAGGCTGTTTCCCTCGAAATCTGAGAAAACTGTATTTGCCGCCAATGCGAAGTATTTTCTGTGCATGCAGGAAGCACGCGAAAACGGGCAAAATTTTAAG